GGCGAAAACAGTCTGAGCGTTTTGGTCCAGACCGAGTTTGGATGTTAGAACCAGGCTTGAAAAGGCGTCCAGAGGCGATAGCTATAAGATGGGCCTCCTAAAGCTTGCATTAGGACGATTCGATTGGCCGATTTCTCAACACTTTCTCAGCTCATACATATATCCACAGGTGGAATATGCACCATAGTTCTCGCAGCCATGGCTGAGGAGAGATCTTATCGCCTTGGAGAAACCCAAACGCCGGGCAACCAATAGAAGAAAAGATTTGTATCTGTTGCCGTATGAACAAACGTTACGAGTGCTCAAAGCATGCAGCGGACGAACCGGAGAGTACGTGGGGACTTGATTTTGACTTACCATTCTGTTAAACGCACTCCGTTATGCTGTTTCAAAAAAGTACCCTCACTATCTTATAATGGGTGACTTTAATGTTCCCTCAATAACATCAATGTCCCCTAATGGGCCATCGTTTAAATTGAAGCTCCTTGAATTCATGAAAATGGCATTTTGTATAACCATGTGCATCGACCAACCAGACACCGCGGTTCAAACAAGCCATCACTCCCGGACTTACTCCTGACTATTGAAGGGTTGCCGGTTGAGTCAGTGGCATACGAACCTCCACTGGCCCGTAGCGACCAATCAGTCCTAGCATTTGGTTCTGTGTGCTATGCCAGTATTGTTGATAAAGAAAGAGCGACTCAACGAACTATTACGGACTATTTTAAGCTGCACAACTTAGAAGCAATCGTTGACTGGGACCTACAGACGCACAGCTCAGCGACTGACGCGTGGAATGAACTGAGACAAAATTAACTGGATCATACAATCAGCATCGAACCTTGTACCATTACGAGCATCGCGCCGGACCAATACGTGGATCCTGAGCAGAAAAGTTGAATGGATCAACAGATGAGATGAAATATAGAGGCAACATTCGCTAAGCCCATGTGATATCACATGGCAGAATTACAAAGTCATCAGAAACTACTGCACGTCACTCATTAGAGTCGATAAGTACGAATGATAGGAGATGGTGTTGAAATCTAGGAGTAACACCAAAATACTACACAGATTTGTGAATGGCAATAGAAAGGTTAAGCCCGGAATACCACCACCCAAGACGGCCAGTGGCCTAACAACTACTGCTGTGGATGCCGCGAACGCTCTACTCCTGCAGTTTGGCTCGGTAGCTACAAATACCATGGAACCTACGCTCTATCAACTCCAAAAAAATGTCATTGGCCTATCTGGCGTCACCTTTGCTTCAGCAGCTGTTGTAAGCAAATTACAGTCTCTCCGGGAGTACAGTGCCCCTGGAATCGACATGGTCTGCCCTAAAGCAATGAAAACCCTTTCTCCCACCATAGCAACACCACTTGCAACCTTTTCTAGGGTATGCTTAACTCACACACATTCCCATCAGAGTGGAAAAACGGCATTATCACTCCAATATACAAAGGAGATAAGTGTTCGGATCCTGCCAACTACCGACTTATTACACTCCTTCCTCTTTTATCAAAAGTGACGGAATCGGTAATGGCATTGAACTGACGCAATACTTTGAAAGTCAACAGATTATTTCTAATGTGCAACATGGTTTCAGACGCAGACGATCTTGTCTCACCAATTTGCTGCTTACTCAGGACTCATGGACCAGGGCGGCTGATGAAGGAGTCCCCATAGATGTGGTTTACTTGGATTTTTCTAAAGCATTCGACAGAGTCAATCACTTCTTTCTCCTCCAAAAGCTTGCTGCCTACGCTATCAACGGTTCCCTGCTCACCTGGTTAGAAGACTACTTAGACGATAGAGCAATCAGGGTAAGAGTTGCCGGCACTCACTGCAAGCCTGTGCGTCTCCAGTGGTGTACTACAAGAATCCGTCCTCGGCTTGCTACTGTTTTTAGTCTACATTAATAACGTTCCAGCAGACATTATATCTCCGATGCAAATATTTGTAGACGATGCTAAAATATGCAGAGCAAGTCTCTCAGCATGCGATCGTGTCCACCTCCAAGAACATCTGACTCGGATTAACGAATCGGCATTGCACTGGACCCTACAAAGCGCGCCTGATGACGGGGCGCAGCAGCTTCGTTAACATATACCATTTGAGGCAACTCGTCCTGCAACACTTGACTAGTGAATACGAATTAGGTGTAATCGTGCAGGAGACTTGGCAATTCGCTCCAATGTTCGAAACTTGCAAGTGTGGCGAACTTGGACTTGAGACTTTTGAGGCGAACTCTCAGCACCTTTGAGTGACGGCTAATACCAATGATGATTAACTCCTATATTCGTCCCCACGTTGAATATAAAATTCAGGCCGGGTGTCCATGGTTAAAACGAGACATCCGCCGCTTGGAACAACCCCAAAGAAAAGCCACAAAGGCAACGCGTGGACTATCCGGTCTAACTTACGAACTGCGCTTTCGTGTATTCGGTGTGTTTTCATCAGAATACCGACGGCTTCGCGGAGATATTACTCTCACATACCGGATACTACGTGAAAGCGAGCATCCATGTGCATTACTGATGACTCTATCCCCTTACAAACAAAACCGAGGCAACCACCTGAAACTAATGTTGCAACACCCGACTGCATTGTAGAAAGTATTTTTACTCACTTAGCATCTGTTCTGACTGGAATACATTGCCAAGAGGCATGGTGAACGCACCAGACATGGCGACATTCGAAAGACTGTCAGACTGTCATCTTAGTGATAAACGTTACACAACAATTTGATAAAGTGCAATGGTTTAACCACTGATAATTCACTTTCCACGCTGGCACATTTGGATTTTATTTTTCTTTTGCATCTCCATCCTGTGGGTCTTGTAAAGTTATGCTTTTTATCCCATCATACACTATTGAACTATTGAAACACACGTGCCACCAGTTGTTAGATCTCAATCACAAAATCAATCCGAGTGGCCACCATCTCAAGCTGGCAGAGAAGTACAGTTGTTTGGAATGCCTTCGGAATTCCTTTTCCTTACGTCGTTGCCAAGCGTAGAATGCCATACCTGAATCTGTCGTCAGTACTCCGACGCTGGTGGAGTTCAAAGCCCAAGTTGACCGTCCAATAATTTCGCTGCCCAATCTCACACAACTCATTGCTTACGATCAAACAAGTGTGTCTGTTAGGCAGTTCACCTACGGTCACTCCAGAATACCTTCCACTTTTGTTATTTTCTGTACGGGTTAATCAAGTGATGGCACGGTTTTACCAACGTCCCATTAATAGTCATTCGTTATGGACGTACAGTGGATTTATAGTTTAAAATACACACACCGCGGTGAGTCCACCAATGTGAACTTATTGCTGAGGACAATTGTTCCATATTTTGCAATATTCACGACGACCATCACACGGGACCTGTTGAGCATTGGCTTTTTTTATCCTTATTGAACTATTATTCCATCCGCCTGCACTGTATCACACCAAAGCCGTTGCAAAGCGTACTCTCGGTAACTCAGGTAAATTTGGAGCTTTACTCTAGTTCCTTCCAATGAATTTGCCTGCGACCAACGGCATTAGTGGCCAGGGGTCATGATAAACACTAAAGTAATGGCGGTTAGTTAGTAGTTCTCCTGTGCATTAGCCGTTGCACCTTGTCATGGTGTGGAAGAACACTATGAAATCGAGGTGTCTTGCAACTCAAAAGCACAACATTTAAGGAAGGGCTGTTACTACGATGCGGCAATTTGTTAAGTGGCTTTTAGAAGCATGGATGCTAAGTTGTAATCTAATGTAAGAACTTGACGACGTGTCCTCCTTATGCTTGCCCAATTATCACCCTGGTTTCAAGTTAGCAGTAGAAATAGGGAAAATGTTCCCATACGAAATGTTCGAAGTTGTTTTCTAGTTCAGACTTACTAACCCTTCAAGCAATTTAAACGAATGGTGTGGAACACATCGCTCAATAATTACACATCAAACGCAGCAATGTCAAGACCTTCACCTCGGAAACTAACGTTGTCCAGTCGCAGGTCACTCTGCCTCAGAAGCATCTTATCACATTGATGGCATAGAAGCAAACATCCACAGGTTGTATGTATTCCCAGAGTCTTGCAAACTTATCTATTTGTTATTTATCACCGGAAGGCTGCATTTATCCATATACGCTGCTCCAGTGTTTTCCAGCATTCAATCAGACACTCAATGCAGATTGTTAAATTGTCAGTCTACTGTTGTCCTTCCCTTTCCAGTAGATGGAGGATGTTTACTATTGACATTTTGACAGAATGATTGTTCTGACACCCATGAACACACTCCGTTTCCATCGCCCTAGTGGTGGCACATACGCGCGAGCCTGTCTTTTTTATGATGAAAGTGGAAATCGAGACCTTAGATGATGCGCTCCTTATTTGTACGGGAAAACGTGGTTCGTTAGATTTTCATACATGAGTTCACTTCTCGCAAGGCATCCTACTGTTTGCCCTCCCGAATTGTGCGAATGACTTACAGCATCTCGGTGCATGGGCATTCAGTTTATGTGAATGTTACTCATGGACTAGTTTGCGTTCATTGCGATTCTATTGGGTTTTTGAGGTAGAAATGGATTTCAAACAAACAACAATGACTTGCTGTCAATTAGGCATCTACTAAGTGAGTAAGTATACCCCTACTATTATCCCAATTCCAGTTCACTAGAAGAATTTCTGTAATCCCCGATGTGAAACAAGAAAAACGGAGTCGAATGCGTTCATTTGATGCAATGCAATGTGATTAACAGTGGGTGCCAATGATCGTGTACTGTTCACCTACATAGAATCCATGTACCTCGTAACTGGCCTCTGGATGTATAGTGAAGGGTTATGCTTGACTGGTTTATTATTGCCGAAGTTTCGATTCGGTTTCGGAACAGTATGCAACTAAGCTGGACTTTGCTGTTTTCTTGTAGTTTGTTAGCTACGTATGAAATTTTAGCTTAAACGTTGGATGGCTCCGCTGCGGCATAGCCTCACTTTAAACCCAGTTGACGGCAGATTGTCTGTGGGCATTCCGCAATCATGTGTACGAATGCGTAACGCAAGTATACTGAGAAACACTGCAAACAAATGAGACAGCCTGTATAAACTTTAAAGTCTTCCGAAACGTCTGTCATTTCCCGCTGCCTTCAATGCCATGCAGTTTCTATGCACAAAAAACTTTGATCATATCGATCACCGAGGATCAGAACACAGAAAATTGGTTCCACTGTGTCTTAGCAGTCTCTTCTTGGTTAACATTGCAACTACCGATTTATAAATAAACAAATGCTAGGATCACACTAACTAAAGAAAAATACACGAAACTGGGTGAGTGGGAGGGCAAAGCGTTAAATAAAATATGGATCAGTGTGTCTTCGTGTTGTGGAGGAGTTAAGCGAAATCGGTGAGAGCGTGAGAGGGTGATGCCTTGTGCTATAGTAATATAAATGTCTCAATCTGACTTCTCTCCTTCGGAAGGCAGTCGGCAGGTTTGCAGCGACCAAAGCGACCGACATGGAGAAGTGAACGCAGACTACTCAGCAGCGGCCTTGCAGATTTGGGTCTCCCACTGACGATTGGTTGCGAAACGGTTCTGTTCCACCAAACAAATGTTTGAACATAAAAAAGTACTAACGCATTGCGTTAGTAAAATAAAACGAATACGGGCTGTGGAAAGAGAACGGCGCAATGGACAAGCCTAACATCCAGATAAGCTTTGATCGTTGAAAAAGTGTTTTTTCTTCAAATTTTGTGATAGAACTATGTTTGAATATAGCTAAATAAAACAAATAGCAATCTTTACGAAGGCAAGAATTGTGTGTTGATTGCGTGGGAAATGTGGATTGTTTACTTGCCGTTTAGTCTCCGGAGGGCAAAAAGCGATAATAATGTGGATCTTTGCGAGCACGACATAACAGGCGTTTGATGCGACCACGTAGCTCTGAAACTTGACTGCCTTCTGGTTTGACTAACCCCGGGCCGTAACCCTGTGGGTGGGAAGGAAGCAGAACGGACATATTTATTGTGCAGGGAGGGCAACCAGATCAAAGTATGAAGCACAAACAGCTACCGAACATGCGTCAGGGCAGACCCGAACGGATACTCGTGCTTGCTTTAAAGTTGCATGCACACATACACACATGTACACACAGGAGTACAGGTGTCATCGTCAGGGTGGGGAATAAACTGTGGAGATTACCTGATGGTAATCTGTGTCATAAAGATTCGCCGAGGCAAAGGACTGTGCTTCACCTATGTAGTATACACCAGCTCCATGTGAATATTGTTAATCTATGTTAAGGGACCTATCTAGTAACTAACCGTGAAGGTTAAATGGCACTCATTGAAACTCGTTGGAAATGTAAGAGGTCCTTGTGCACACGACACATGTGAACCGCTTGTTTCACACTTTGGCTGTATTCAGCTTGAGAGCGCACCGAAAAGATCGAGTAGATTTAGGTGTTAAAACTTGTACTCGATTCAACGCATCCAGATAGTAAACTCTGCGTATTTGACAGAGCAGTAGGGCGACCCATTTATTCTTGATGCAACCAATGTGCCACTAGGTACTTCGAAGTTGACGTGAGACATTGTCTTATTCGCACCGGCCATGGCCTGTTTATGAACCAAAGAAACTAATTGCGTCTCTATGAACATTTCATTCAACTTCTGTGGTTACATAAGATAAATCTGGTCCCACGGGACCACAGCGTTTGGTGAAACCTTTAGATAAGAGACCCACGGCACATTTTGTATCACTGCGGGTAGCCAACTTTGTTTACCGTAGCTATGCGCTACACGCTATGCGCAACCTCAAAAGGTTCTGTGGTAAAGCTGTTGAAATGCAAGAAGCGGCTGTGATTGGCATGCGTTCGTTAAACATGATTGAAATAAACCCAAGAGTACATACTGGAAAGGGTGGAGAACACTGCAACACATTTGTTTATTTTTCTGGCCCATCGATTAATTTGAATGTACTATAGAACCAAGACTTTACATAGGTTAAAACGCCTGCTGTTCACTCAAGTGAAAGCTGATGATCACTACAACGTGTCAAGTTATCCGCAACCATATATATATATATATATATATATATATATATATATATATATATATATATATATATATATATCCCATCCGCATACCTCCCGGTCTTATTCCTTCGGGTTTACACTGGATATGGGGTATGTGGATGGAGCTGTGGGTGGTGCGGCGCAAGCCATCCATGGTCTCTCTGTAGGCGCAGGCGTCCTGTGGCCAGCCACAGTGACAGGCAAATCCGAAACCGGATGACGCCAACCATCTATGGATCGGGCCTGTTCAAAAGCACTGTGGAGATCAAGCGACATGTTTTCCAAGAGGCGTTGACGTATCCTTTGGGATTGCAGCTCAGTTATAAAAGCAGCACGAATGGCCTCATCGCAGTTCCTCTCTGTCAATACCGTTTTGAAGTTGCAGTCCTGAGCCAGTGACTTCAATTTCTGCATGAAGTTGTCTAGGGTTTCGTCGCCTTGTTGTTTGTTGATAGCAAGTAGGTGACGTGCGATTTTATTTTTCCGTTTGATATATACATTCCTCAGTGTTTCGATGGCAAGTTCGTAGCTCCCACACTCCTTAATGCAATCATATACATTAGGAGATACGTAATTAGCGAAGATCCTCAATTTGTTAAGCGATGAAGAGTCAGTGGTGTATAAAAAAATACATGAGCCAAACCAGTGTGCCCATTGCTTCGTAGCATTCGCATTGTTGGGATCGCCACCAAGACCTTAAGGTCGGAGGATACGGTCCATTTCTTTCTGAATAACTTGTCATATGAATTGGCGGAGAACAAGCACGCCGAGTGGGAATGAGTGTAGCCCGAATGAATAGGCCTTATTCAGCAAGAAAGCGAATCGAGTAGGCTGAGAAAGAGTATAGAAAGGTTGTGCTAAATATCGACAGAAAAGTGCTTTCGAGCTAAACTTCATGTATGGAATTTATATGCCACACAGATATCCAAGTTTTGATGAAAGTTCGTGCCACTGTCCCGCCTGTGAGATCGCGCAGCGGCACGGCATGTGGCCAACGAATGAAACGATCGATACGTCAACACGTAGGTAAAACCGTTGGGTGGCGGTAGAGATCCAACGATGTCGATATGGACATGCTTGAATCGAGCGTAGGGCAGCGAAAAGGTTCCGGGAACATTAATCGTATGTAATAGTGTTTCACCTACTGCTAGATATCGGAGCGCACGTTGGGTTAGCTATAGCGACCAGTTATTAGGTTCGTAGTGGCGCGTTTACTCAGGTGTGAAATGCCTTAAAAGTGATCAAATACAATTCGTCTATATTGCTGCGGGGCGAAAGATCGAGCTTTGCCAGTGGACATATTGTAGTAAATTTTGGAGTTCGGGTTGACAAGAGGCAGAAGAGACAGTTTGATGGACGAATTCAAGTTGAGTTGCTGGAACTCGGGATCTTCTTGTTGATGAACGGCGATGTCTTCAAGCTTAATTGGTTGACGTGAAACTTGGTAGAGGTCAAAACGAGTCATCTAGTCAGCGACGACGTTACCGGCTACAGCAACTTGTCGAATATCAGTAGTGAACTGTGAGGTATAATCAAGATGACGAGTTTCACGCGGCGAGAAATGATCAGGGTCACCAATTATGCAGTGGAAAAGACTACACAAAAAGGCTAACGAAAAGCTCAGTAAGCTATGAAAACAGTTATTCCGAAGTTCAGTTAATGCCAAATGTCCGAAACATTCCCTATGCCTCGATAAGATAGGCAATCCGAGTCAGCGACGAGTTCGCTCACCAGACACCAAGCAACAACATCGAACAGTCACGACGAACGCATGCGTAGCGAACCGAAGCGACAATGGGGAACGAAATTTGCAGAAGGATGTATCGGTTCAGCTAAGTAAAACAACTGCAATAAGTAGTGAAAGATGTGACAGGAAAGTACAACCGAAAAATGCAGAAGTGTACAAGTTCTACAGATCGCATTTTACCGGACCAATTTTTTCTACATGCTCAGCACGCATTGAATGAGGATTGCCCTTATACTTAAACCACGTCTTCCATTTTATGTGAAGACAATGGTCTATTGCTCACAGTCACAAACGTCAGGCACTCCAGGAGGCGTTCTGCCATCTGGCATCCTTCTTCACCTACGCAGCCTCGCTTTCAAATAGACCACATTGATAGCAGGGTAGCATACAGGACTAGGTTATTTTAGACTATCTTGATTTAGATCAGGTGATGGGCGCTTTGTAAAACCCTTAAGTGGAAGCATTGTAAATTTGTTACTAAGAGGATAACTGATCAGTCTCCTCCACGGAACTACTAACTGTCGCTGACAAACAAATTAGCCTCTGTTCCACCCACTAACATTAAACACGATTAGAGCTTCTTGCAATATGCAATGCTAAATTCTGGCGGATCAGTCTGTGGGTTAGCTTATCACTCGTTGTGCGGTTGTGCCTCTGCTCCTTCTGTCGCATTGTTCGACCGCTTCCGGATCCCCCCAACAAACTCAGACTACAATAAACCTCGCCGCATTGTAAATCGACAACTCGAACGAAACCTACACTGCGAGCGGAATTTTAATGATCCCAACGGGCCCGGTAAATAATGGCTGTTTCTCGCACCGGAAATACTCGCAGCATGTTCCAGCTCTTTCGCATCACTGGACACTGGAGGTCGGGTATACACAAAGTCACCTGCGAACCGCATGGGACACAAACCACTGATGTGCAGAGAATTTTTCAGCTGAGAATTTTTCATCGCTATCCACTTGACCCTCGCCGTCTACATTTGCACTCAGCACACTCGGTCGCATATCATGGGTCGTGCCACTTGAACCACGCACTGAAGCGGAGCTTACTCTTGAGACTCGACACCCGAAACGCTTTAAGGCTGTGGGCTCAGATGAACTTTCCCTATGCCTCAGTGGCGCAAGTCGCTGACTCATAAGAGTAAAGTCATGGTTTCGAATTTCGCAGGATTCAGCGGGTACGCGTTAAGAACACGTCCCAATAGTACGAAACGGCCGTCTAGCTCTTTCCTGGATGTGTGGTGACTCTCTGGCTGCGTTTAGTTACGACAAATATTCTCCAAAACAACAAATATTACTATTGAGCACTAAGTACCTTAGCAGCTTACGTGCCACCTCGATTGCTGGCGGCCTGCAAAGGAAGTCGCAGCTCTGGAGGACAGCCCTCTCCTCTGTACATTCACAGCATGCAGGACAGTGAAGACTGAGCCGCGCTGGACCCAGTTAGATATTAATATGGCGATCCGCCTCCATCATCCATGGATCAGTGGCATAAGTCGCTGACTCGTAAGAGTAATATTATGGGTTTGACTCCGGTAGGATTCGGAGAGTGCGGGCTAATGACGTCCCGCTAGGAGGAAACGGCCGTCCAGCACTCCCCTGGATGTGTGATGACTGTCTGGCTGAGTCTAGCTGCGACGACTGTTCTCCAAAACACCACTCACTATTTCCTAATAATTGCTCAAGTGCGCTGGCACGGAAGTTGTAAATCAGCTAACATCACTATTTCTAAAGATACGGCAAGAAGAAAGACAACCCTCCTCTTGGGAGTAGTCGGTTATTATCCCAAGCTTCAAGAAATGTTCTCGTACTACAGAGGGACCATTCGGACATCTGTTACCTCTAGGATACTAGCATCCATCATGCTCCACAGGCGGGAGCAACGTGGTAAGCACTACCAGGAGGAGCAGGCTAGTTTTGTCCCGGTCGGGAATGTGTGGATCAAATATTCACACTTCCTCAGCTCCTTGAATATTGTCCTCTTTACCGCAGACCCACCATTATCGCTTTCCTTGACATTCGGGCTGTATTCGACTAAGCAGACCGACATGTCTTATGCCGATGCTTGCTAAAGTATGAAGTTCCCGTCGAGTACGTCGCTATACTTCGAGCACTATACCTCCATACTTCAGGCATGGGAAGACCCCACGGCACGTTTACTG